ACACGTACACTGGAGGCGACAACTCAATTGAAGCTCGGTTTTTCAACCTCATTGATGACTTGAGCTTATATGAAAATGTGAGGTCGACAACTCGTTGGAGAAACAGTTAGACACCATCGCGGTTAGACTGTGTATTCACAAACGAAGAATTCCTAGTTGAAAACCTTTCAATCCTGGCTCCTCTGTGAAAGAGCGATCATGCCGTCATAGCCTTCAGTTTTTTCACCAAAACTAAGCTAAGGTATCCCAACAATAATTTGCGTTGGAATTTTAAACGGCTGAATAACCCAGCTCTACACGACTATCTACAACAGGTGGTTTGAGATGTTCACCCCCAACTCGATGTGGACGGTCACTGGAACTTCTTACTGCACACGCTCTTATGTGCTACAAACCATTCAGTTTTTCAAACGGTTCCCAAAAGCTGTAAGCCACCTACAATAATCAAGAACCGTACCCTTCGCCTGCTAAGCCGTAAAAGACACTTTTGGGCGGAATACAAACGAACTGACAACGACGGAGCGTATAGGCAATTCAAACATATCAGGAACATATGCACGAAGGCTATAAGAGAAGACAGGCTTCATTATCAGACAAAGCTTATGGACAAATTTGCCTGGAACCCTAGAAGCCTATTCCGTTATGCAGCCTCTCTTCGTCAAGCCAAAACAGGAGTTTCTCAACTGCTAGGTCTTAATGGCCCAACCAACAACGATGGTGACGCCGCTAACCTTCTGGCGGTACACTACTCTCAAACATTTCAGCCGGCTGACATCAACTCTATTGACGACAGTTTCATCTGCAATTCCACAGGGCTTTCCGAAGTGGACTTAAGCGCTGACTTGGTGTTCCGGAAACTGCAGCACTTAAGACTAGATACTTCTCCTGGCCCGGATATGGTTCATTCTGCCATATTGAGGGAGGCAGCCTCAATCCTGGCAACGCCGCTTAACGTGATGATTTCACTATCGCTAAGCCGAGGCAAACTACCGGAAAATTGGAAGTTGGCTCACATCACACTAATTTTCAAAGGGGGTCGACGCAATGAACCTTCAAGTTATCGGCCGGTGGCTCTTCTGTCATTATCTTCAAAACTCATGGAGTCCCTGATATGCGATGGTTTAAACGATTATCTACTGTCCTTAAACTTCTTCTCACCCCAACAGCATGGTTTCAGGAAAGGTTACTCTTGTATAACCAACCTGCTGACTTTGGTGGACAGATGGACAAGCATCCTCGATCGCAAGGGAAAGGTTGATATCATATACCTTGATTTCTCAAAAGCTTTTGATAAAGTTAACCACTTGTGTCTTATCAATAAGCTCAAACGACTAGGTATTAAACCACCTCAAATCGATTGGCTTACTTCATACCTAGAAAATCGACACTTTAAGGTTAGGGTTAATTTCACTTTATCTCAGGCTATGGAATGTCCTAGTGGGGTCCCCCGGGGCCCAGTATTGGGGCCTCTCCTCTTCTTGATCTACATAAACGATCTTCCTCAACAGGTAACGTCAGACTTATTACTTTTTGCCGATGACGCGAAACTTTGGAGAGAGATACGCAACCAAGACGATACACAGGCACTTCAGGAGGATCTGACTCGACTTCAAAGTTGGGCAGATGATAACGGACTTACCTTTAACACTTCAAAGTGTAAAGTAGTCCATCTGCGACATGTCGCAGACTACAGTTATAACTTAGGAAACTCCTCTCTAGTAGTATCCCAAGTCGAAAAAGATTTAGGAGTCCTGGTGCCCCATGATTTAAAGTCTTACGTTAATTGTGACAAAAATGCCTTCCGAGCTAACCTTGCACTGGTAACATTGAAGCACATTTTTGGCCAGTTTGACGGAAGAACTTTCCATACAATCTTCAATAGTTTTATCCGTCCCCATTTAGAGTACGGAAATATAGTATTCCCCCCTCACTCCAAAAGGACAAGGTCACTTTGGAGCGTATCCAACGGCCAGCCACGAAATCAGTTCGCGGACTGAAATCTAAGCCTTACGAAGAACGCCTCCATTCACTAGACCTTTACGCATTAGAGTATAGGCGTCTTAGAGGTGATTTATTAATGGCTTATAGTATTCATAACACTTCTGGACATCCTCTTAAACACCTACTCAAGCTTAGTTCGAATACTAACCTAAGGGGTAACACCCAGAAACTGGAAACTCAACATAGCAAGACGGGATGTAAACACAACTTCTACTCCTTAAGAGTTGTCAAAAGCTGGAATTCGCTGCCGACCGAGCTAGTCCAAGCGACTTCTCAGGAGTCCTTCAAGAGGCAACTTGACCTATTCTTAAGGACCAAGGACAGTATCATACTATGATTTACCAATTTCTTTTCCTCTTTTATTGTTAACATACCTAGGTTCCTGCCTGGAGGATTTGGTGATCCCCTGCTACTAGACACGGAAGCCTGTTAAGCGAAAGCCTCTTCTATTCCGTCCACAACAATTTGAACCATTTGAACGCATTCACAATGCTACATGGGTAAACCAGATCGGTCATATTGGCATAAAAACATTGACAAGGTAAATGTGAGACATCAGGTCGCTACCTGGTAGATGCCAAGATGAAACTGAAGCTAAAGATGCATCGGACGACTGGAAAAACAGTATTACAAAGGTTAAATGCAGACTTTCTTCGAGATACCGACAAACTCTGGGGATTCGAGATAACTCCCTTTGGGATATGGTACGAAAGATTTCATCCTGCACTATTCTCAAAGCCTTAGACATTCCAAAGGGACATAAGGTTGCGACATTTAGAAGCTCCCACCTTCAATGGACCTATCCTTGACCATCAGTTGCACATTAGCAACGCGACTCTCATGAAGCGCGCCAACTGTGGTACTGATTAAAACCATCTACTTTCATATCTTATAAATTATCGACACAGCTATGTAATTTACTACAGTGGATATTGTATCATTTGTATCAATTTGATCTTGCCTGTAAACTGGCATGCCTCATGTAACAAACTGTTATTTGAGAATAAATTATTATTATTATTATTATAAGGTTTTAAACCCTACAGGAACTACTGAAAGAAGAAACTATTATGGAGGACAACCGAATAGGCCGGCTCCGTTGGATCCATAGCATATCAAGGCAGCTTTCTATAGATGTCACTCCACCAACGATGGAATAAATCAAGATGGCCATCAGAAAAGTCAGTGGTGGGAGAGCAGAAGAATCAGAAAACAACATACTAGCCGAAGCACTGAAGTCAAACTGAGAACATGCTTCACACTCCAGGTTTATTTAAAAAGAAGTAAAAGCATACCAAGGACATAAAGATTCGAAAGAAAGAAGATATGAGCAAATGTGAGAACTACGGAGGCATCACATTACTATCAGTAACAGAAAAGGTTTTCAACAGAGTGTTTCTGAACCGGATGAAGACTCAGTAGACGCCCAAATTCGAGATCAACTGTCTGGATTTTGCAAGGATTGGTCATGCATAGACCAAATCAGGACACTACGGATCATCGTTGAGCAATCAACTGAATGAAACTCGTAACTATACATTGACTCCTTCGAATATGGGAAAGCATTTTCAAGTGTTTACAAGAGAATATTATGGAAATTTCTCCAACACTACGAATTTCCTGAGGAAAAAGTAAACATCATATGGGATTGATGCGAAGAACTACACTGCAAAACCTTGCTTTGAAGACAGCTAACAGACTCATTCCATATGTACACAAGAGTCGAACAAGGCTGCCTACTCTCCTCTTTCTCTCCCAGCAGTAGACTGGATTATGAAAACCTTCACATCCGACGGGAAGCACAAAATAAAATGGACAGGTTGGACTCAAGTAGTCGATTTGGATTTCACAAATTACTTAGCTCTTCTACCCCACGCACATGAATATATGCAGGTGAAGACAAACAGTGTAGCAGCAGCTTCTACATCAGTAGGCCTCAACATACACGAGAAAAAAATAATATCGTCAAATACAACACGGAGGACACCAAACCAATCACACTTGATGGAGAAACTGTGGAAGAGGTGGAAAGTTCCACGCCTTTGAGTAAAATCATCGATGAACGTGGTGAATCTGATGCAGACGTAAAGACGAGTATTAGCAAAGCAAGGACAGCTTTACTACAGTTGAAGAACATATGGAACTCAAAACAACTCTCAGCCAATATAAAAGTCGGATTCATCAATATGAACATCAAGATAGTTCTACTGTACGGAGCTGAAACTTGCAGGCCACAACATGAGTGAAGTGTCGGTGCTATTGTTTCTGTCCAAAAATGGTCTGTGGATGACGGTAATTATCTCACAATTGATTGCGGCTTACGTCCATCAGTTTGTAGTCAAAGGGTTCATAGAACTGGTTGGGCTTTAAGGTATTTGTTTTCCCAGTGAGATGTAAAAATGATCAAAATTTACAGCACCAGTGAGGTTTAACTTGGAGAACTTTGCACAAGCTACAAAGACCTATTTAAAAAACGGATAGAGTCTCCCAGAATAAGTTCACAGGATGACTGCTTTCACTATTCCAGAGCTATGTAACATACATAGGATACTAAGAAGTGACGGTAGACACAACATACCTTTTTACTTGAAACTAGATCGTGAAGAACTAAAGGATACATTATTGAGTTCAAAAACCACGAACGAGCAAAATCCTCTAGAGAAACAGGTTTTCTAACCAAGTAACTAACTAGTGAAACATACTGCTAAACGTTGTGTTGCTATCTTAAAACAATCTTATGCATAAAATGTCAAATAGACGTATGAGGTTGATAGAAAAGGACTAAGGCATACTCTGGGCCTGTCAACCTCAATAAAATGCTATAAAATCTTAAATCAGTTCTAAAATATTCAGGACCATAATGGAAGATTAGAATGACTAATAGCACCAATCTTTTCAAGATATAAAGCTTAGGTTTAAATAAATAAGTCAACAAATAGCCAAAATAATAAATACAAGACTGTTGTAGGTATATTGACAATTTAATATAGCGGTTTCCATAGCTTTTAGTAACGAGTGCATTTCTTGATTACTGTTAATGTTCCCTTTTATGTATTATGGACTGTCGCATAGGCGGCATTCTTTTTTCATCAAACTTCGACTCGGGAAATCTAGCTCGTGTCGAGAAAGTCCTACGTGACCCAGATGAACCTCTATCATTATCAATTCAATCTAATTCAAAACAACAACAGCAACTAGTACAGAAAACCACTAATAAAGTTAACAGTAATATTTTTGGAAATTTCGCAATAGCAGACGTTCGAGCTGATTACGAGTTCAGGATGTGGATCAAACCGGACTGCGCTGGCACTGCATATGCGAATGGGAATCGAACATGGTTTTATTTTTCTATGCGCGGGTACAGTCCTGGGAAGATTATGCGGGCTACTATAATGAATATGAATAAACAATCAAAAATTTATAGTCAAGGCTTTTCCCCGATTTATCGCGTCTGCAGTCCATCAGCAGCTCACTCTAGGTATACATTTTAACCAAAGTATTCACCAATTAGTTATGTACATATTTATGCATAATTAAATAGTTCATCAAACTCTTAGTATTTTAATTGCTTGCCACTGACTGTTTCACGCATCACTCTTAGTGTGACTACAAATTGGACATTTGTTTGCTTCATACCAGAAATGTGGTAGGGATCAAATAGTCATATTGTTCACTTATGCTGTTAATTTACAAACTGAGATGCTAATCACATAGGATGCTAGCAAAGGTCTCTTGGAATCATCGTATTTCACCCAAATGAGTAAGCTTTCCCGGTTGGTGTTTTCACATAGTATGTCTAGTGCAACAGAAGATTCATAGACCAACGATGTAAAATATTCACTCTAGTTAAACTTGATGATTGATGACAGACAAAAACATAGTTGAAGGCAACCGCAAAACAATTCTTTGACGAGTCACTTTTATTTTATAATCCATTCATTCGATTTTTTTATGGTTATAGAAAATATTTCGCCTGATATTTTTTGTTCGATTGTGCGTATGTACTGTGCTATGTTGGCTTACTACTCCATTCTTGAAAGCATATAAAATTTATTTAGGTGGACATAATAAATTGTATCCTTAACTATCTGTTGTCTTAAAACGCTCAAGAATTTCACAGTACATTACAAAATACAGCTAAAGATGTCAAGCTATTTTTTATCAAATAAAGTGCTTTCTCTATCGGCTGAACACTTTTAGTGGTATAAACACTCATTACCGCAACATTTTGATAACAGTTCAGATGGCTGCTTAGGTTATTTATTGGTCGAAATATATGCATGTTTGAACTGCTCTAAAAATAACCCATTCTTTCATCATATTTTTCATGAGTTATGGATTTTTTGGAACTACTTCCAACATAAAGCGCTGAATTTTTTAATACTTTCAATTAATTGTTAGGTACACAGTGAAGCAATACTTTGGATTTTGATATAAACTCAGGTAAAAAACCTGGTTATCTAAGGGTTTTGGCGCAAATGCTTAAAAAGCTTTTTATTTGGCTTCTTTACGCAGAGTGTTATTCTTCTAACTTGGTGACAATTTTAAATTATAATAAGTGGTTTGTTTCTAAGCTTTTGTGTCGTGGTCATTGTTTTTAGAACAGTAAAAACAAGTGGCACAGTTTTTATGATTTTCTTGCTGAAATATGAGGAAAGCTCTTACTTAGGTCTATTCATGCGTCAGTTTTTCCCGTTGACATTATTTGTATATTATATAATCAAGTTTGTTTTTTGACTAAAATATGTCTTTTGGTGCATCCATTGTAACGAGAATCTTTGAGCACAATATTCAACTATTTATTTAAAGAGCACTGGCCTATTGGCTTGTATGGTGCCATATTATGATAAATAATATATGTGTATATCTATAAAAATCATTCCTTTTTCTCATTTCAAAGCAAACATAAATTACTTGGATTTGTTGGAATTGAAAATAAAATGTGAGTATTCATCGGGCTGAAAATCGACAAACAAAGCATATACTCCGGAGCGAATGTAGTTTGTTTCAAGTAGTAAGATGATTGATCACTAAATAATCACCACAAGTAAAATCTTTCAGGAGAAGTATTTAAAAAATAAATATGACATCACATCGAATCCGTTTATTTTTAAGGTTATAAGGCAAAATCTTTGAAATAGTCAAACCAAGGTACATCGTGAAACTTTGAATTGGTAGACCGTTGCTTTAAGTTGTATGAAAAGCTATGGGCACTGTGTTCAGTGATGAATTAAATCCATGAGTTGAGTTCCGAGTTAGTTTATGTGGTATGAAATGCCAACAACTCATAAATTGTTTATTTAATTTATTAGGGTTTCCCTCAATAGACATATGAATATCTCTGGAGTATTGTAAACCGTTATAACTGAAATCAAAGAATTTTCTTTCAAAAATGTGAATTTTTCCGCATCTAACTTCAATTAGTCACAAACTATAATTGTTACCACTCCTGAGTTTCAAAAGTCGACGTAAGAATGAATTACTCTAATCAAACCAGATATCAATTATCTAACTCAAATGAAACTTATTTAAAATTAAGTAAATAAAAACAGACGCATCTATTGCTCACCTGATATAGTTAGCAATTACTAAGTGTTATTGAGGAAAATTGATAGTTCAGTGTTTTAAAACAGAAATAACCTAAGTATTTGTTGCACAAGTTTAATCGCTATTCTTTTAAAAACCGTCCATCAGACCAGAAGTGATTTAAACAAGTTTTATAGTAGTGAGAACAAAATAAGATAAAAACTAATAGTTTATAGTAGAGAAAAAAACACAAGCCACATTATACGAGATGAGTGCTATGAAATAAATTAGTGATTTAAAGAAGGTATTAAGAGGACATGACAAAACATATATTTCATTTTCCTTCGATAACAGTAAACATTAATTTTATTATTCAATCCCTTTTCATTGCTGTTCATGTATAAAACTCATCACTATCTCTTAGTTGGCTTACTTTCATGATGTCAATAGTTAATGTGTTGGGATGAATGGGATAACGACTAAACATAGTTCTAAATTGTACAAGTAAATGTGTTCATATGAAGTTTTAATGTAGTTAACAAACCATTTGGTCTACTGACTGAACTAATAAACTGGTCTTATTATTTCGACAATATAAACATGTAGTTATTATTTTTCGAGGTGGGTTCGTGGAAAGCTCCATCAACTGGAGGATCAGTGGGAATAGATGAGTGGTGATCTGTTTTATCGTTTATTGAAGCTCCTTAGAAGTGAGCAATAGTGACCACATAAAGATTATAATCCAGAACATTTACTAGACCAAAATAATATCAGTTACTAATCAGCGATTAACCAATGTAGAACACAAAAAATGTATTTCATATACGTGAATATTACTATCATGTATAAGTTTTTATGTCCATTATTAATCATATGTGCATTTCTTTTTCATGAATTATTTAGATGGCAACGTATACGTGATAAGCCTTTTTGGGAACTAGTCAATGGACAATTTCTTTTAACATTTATACATCGATTCCAGGATCCACGTGGGAGTATTACGTATTTTGCGTTTTGTTATCCATGGACATATAATGAAATGCAAACACAATTAAATAAATTAGATAGCATATTTCATTACAATAAAAATGAAAACGTTAACGTCAATAATAAAAATTTATGCAATAAATATAATACGATGAAGTTGAGTCAAATAAACAATAATGATAAGTCTGAAGATACTTGCAAAACTTCACCAGAATTATTGACATCATTGAATATGAATAAAACAAAAATGAATAATGGTACCGTTGATATTACTCTGACTTCATTTGCTCTACCTTCCTCCCTTTCCTCCTCCTCCTCCTCATCATCATCATCATCACTATCATCATCACCTTCTTCCTCATCATATGATCCAAAATGTTTCCCAGAAAATGATTTATTTGATAAGATTTATTTTCATAGAGAATTACTTTGTTATAGTTTAGAAGGAAGAAGAATCGAATTATTGACAATCACTGATTGGTCTGGATGTACTTTTGTTGAAGAGGATCGCTTTGATCCATTATTATTTCCTGATTTAGATAAATCTAGACCATGGAAATTTACAAATAAAAAGGTTAGTTGATAAATGTTATCAGACAATAAGATAAATATCAACATGTAAAATGGTTGTAGCAGATGAACGTATTTTTGATACCGCATTATTATAAACATAGTTCATGTTTAATATCGAAGAAAAGTGTAATTGAGAAGTATATCACCATTCAAAGCCTGTGCAACAAAACGCTCTATGCAGGGTTATATAATCAGCTCCTAACGGAGTATGCTTTATTGATGGTAATTTACTCTTTGAGAAAATTGTCGATCGAGAGTATGGAGATTATGTCTTTCTGTGTAGTGATAATCATGATGATAGAATCCCACTGAACCGGATTTGTGTCTGCAAGTACTTAGCACATACTTATTAGTCTACTGAGTTAACATTCAGTGGTTAAGCACCGGCTGAGGACCTAAAGCTTATGGGTTAGGTTCTCAGTGAGGTTGAGAGTAATCAGTGACTAGGAGTCCTATACTGAGGCAAAGCATTTGTCTAGCGCCACCTGTCTTCCAGTGTTCCCCCTATAAAGGTTAATCCATGGAAAAAGTACCTACTGAAGATAAAATACTAATAATCGAAAAGCTACTTAATATCAAAGGTGTAGATACCTGAATAAACAAGGAAGTGTTTTTACGTTGAGTTTCAGAGATTCAATAAATCTTCATTCGTAGAAGATTTTGTGTTCTCATTTCTTATCGTAGGAACTACAGCGGTCCCCATTTCAAATTATAGGTTACCACACTCTATGTACAAATGAATTTCTACTCGATGGTTATACCTCAGTACTTTATAAAAATAATACGTAAAGCATTTTATTATTTAACAAGTAAGTTGATTTTATTAATCCTATTTATGATTTATAGTCATTTACATTTTGTTTATCTCGCATTTTAGGTTGTTTTTGTTAGTGCTCGTGTACATCCCGGTGAAACACCATCAAGTCATGTATTTAATGGATTATTGGAATTTTTACTACGTATAAATGATCATCGTGCATGTGAATTACGTAAACATTATATATTTAAATTAATACCAATGTTAAATCCAGATGGTGTATTTCATGGTCACTATAGAACAGATACTCGTGGTGTCAATTTAAATCGTGTTTATTTAAAACCTGATTTTCTATACTATCCATCAATTTATGCAACTAAAGCTTTAATTATTTATTATCATACAAACTATGGAACATTAAAATCATATGCACCATTTTTAGATGATATTTTTAAGCAAAAATTATATACTACTACTACTAACCATTTTAAAACAAACTCTGAAAATATTACTATCAAAAATACAAATAATCAACCTCGTATTATTGATAAATTATCACTTAACCAAACAATTTTTCCATGTGAAGGTGTAAAACAGACAAAAGAGAAAATCTTATCTGATTGTGAAACAAAAGAAGTAAAGTCAATTGTATGTATATTATTGTACATTTATTGTTTTTGTTGAGTAACTAAGTGTATGTAAATATTTCTCTGAGGTTGCATTATACATTGTCTAGATAATATGTTAAAATTGAAGGTAGTAGTTAATAGATAAGAGTTTCAAAATAAACTTCAGCAATGGAATCCAAGTACATCCAGTTTACGAGTTTTATACGAAACGAGGATCATGTGCTTCGTTCAAGTATTAGCCACTATTCAAAATATAACTAATGGTAGTTCCACTTACGGAACATTATTAGCATGTAGTTAATTCCAAATCTATTGTATGATATTCGTAATAAAGTAAGAGAAATTCTAGGAACATTGCTAAGTGACGATAAAAATTCAGTAATGCTCTTAGTTATGCTACCTCTTACTTCTTCCTAACAGTTTTAACGTTTCTTCATCTAGCCCAAAGTCGTATCATCACATCGGATATATTGTGTAATCAGATAATCACAATTATTTCATAGTTAAGTCAAGGAATGGAGACAACAACAACAAATAACTAGTTTTGATTGTGAGATTTTTCCTATGAATACAAAATTGGTATGCTTAAAGTGTGTTTGTTGATCTCTTGGAAGACGATAATTCTTATAATAGAAGTTATGAAGAAATATTTCCTGATACGCACCAACTTTAATATCACTTACAATAATAAAAGAACTGGACATGATTCTATTGTAATAATATGTATTTGTATGTACTCCTTGTCAATGATTAGATAAATTCAGTTGATGAGTTTCAGAGTGAAACTTGCGTCGTAGATTCTGCTTCTAGGCATAGACTAAATTTAATAATGTTGATATTCTATAGTTGCTCAAACATTTTTATTGTATGTAATCAATGAAATACATTTCAGACTAATAATGTTCCTTGTGTATATTTTATTTTTTCCGAAGAAGCAATTAACTTCAGAAAATCGTTCGATAAAAGAATATTGTACAACCATTAAACAAGATGAAGAAAAAGAAAAATCACATTTAAACTTTATGAATGATCATCTGTCAACTACGTTTGAGCAACAAATGGATAATCAAAATATCTTCTTGACAAAATTATTTGATACTGGATTATCATCATCAATAACATCAAACTCACTGTCAAAAGCAGATAGTCTTGCAGAAAAAAATTTATCTTCTAAGTATTTATCACCTATTGAACGTATGTTTACTAGTTCCAGTTCAACAAAAAATGATGAAGATACATCGATTGTTCATCGGGTCAACTTTCCTATTGCTGACACTGATAAGAATTCAATCACTAATCAATGCGATACAGATTTAAGAAGTACTTCAAATTATTTTCATACTATTACTGAAACGAATAATTCACCACAGAAAACATTATCACGATTAAACTATTCAACGTCAATTTCAACACCATCTCATAACACTGAATTAAATAAAAAAGTTTATAAAAATGTAAAACCTTTAAAACTAACTAGACTTCCAGTAACATGTAATACAGAACTTGATTCTCAAAAATCTCTTGAAGATTATCATGCAGCATCCCGAACTCAATATGCAATATCAAAAACAAGTAATTTAGTACCATTAGTTACAAAACTTACTACATCAACACTAAATTCCAATGTTGCAAAACATTCAAGTTTAGATGATGGAATATCTAAGAGATTAAGTAACCAATATAGACATAGAACAGTTGAACAAAAAACACTAAATCAATCAAATTACATTTCATATTTTGATAAAAATAAACGCCGTTCAACATTAAAAGTTGATTATCTTCCTTATTTTTTAATGTAAGTTGACTTGTGTAGTTTTAGTAGCAAATGCTTTATGCATCTTTTCTGTAAGTGTATTAAGACAGTCATTTATTTTTTCAGATAAGTGGGCTCTCTGCATAAATCTTACGATAATGCCATCGACTTTCTGAATGGCCCATTCCTGTGAACATAGGGCAAATAAGTTTGTTTTTCAGTATGGGTATTTGTAGAAATTGTAGTATTTTCAGTTGAATTTACAAATCAATCTAAGCTAGACCATTATTGAAAACCTGAAAGCATTGGGCGGCCTTTCCATCCCAGTGCGAGATTTCTCGGCAATGCCCACCCACGATCCCACACGCGGAACTCGAGGCTAGGGCCTTTGTTTCTTATTATGTTGAATAAGCAGAAAAATATATTTAATAATTTCAAATGTCTAAATATTTTTTTTAAAATCCTAGGCTAAAAATACGAGGTTCCTGTACAAGATGTTAAGATTGACTGAGAAAACAAGAACGACCGATTAATCGATGAAATGTTTTTTATCTCGTTAAGTGTGAAATAAGTGTATTGAATAGTTTTAAAGAGAATCTTTAATGGTCTATACACAACTGATTACGAAAGAACCAAATGAATCCATTATTTACAAACATTTCTATTGACTGGTTACTTTAACCAACATTTCTTTGATTTTTTTTCTATGTAATTATGTTTTCTTGGTAAATACTGCAGATGTGTGTCTTAAGGATTGGTGTTTGAGAATTCCGAAGGAACCTTACTGTTACGACCTTGAATCGCTTTTACCCCGTTGATACTTGTTATGACTTGACCTTGATATGTCTAAACTATGACCTTGACGCGATAGGCTGAGCGGCTTAATCTTGAGTCTAGCACGCGTGAGTTCGAGATGGGGCAGAGAGACAACTATCGTAGAACCTGATTGGTTGGCAAGCACGCAAGTGAGAGAAGACAAGACAGTTGGAACACTGAACTCTGGATTCTCTGAATTCGGATTAGCACAAAAATGTACATGAATAAATAAATTAATATCTTGACCACGACGTACGATAATTTGGAAAAATACAGTTATGTCCGAAACTGGGAATTAGGGTAGAAAATACGGTGCAAAATACTATGTTTAAATTACAATATTTTCGGAACAAAAAAGGGTGTGGTAGTGAATAATACATAGAACGAAAGCTCATGTTATGTAGAATAAGATAGGGACTAAAATAAATATAAGTGTTTTAAAGGGTTTGAATGAAATGAATTAACGTCCCAAGAAAATGGCTTTCGTAGTTGTCTGGGCTTCTTAATTCCCCGTTCACAACACTTACTAAATACATTTATTTTGTAGTCATGGATTTATAACAATAATACAGGATGCTTAATAAACAATAAATCAATGTCAGTCACACATATTCTGGTACAGTTTTAATTTAAGGAGATCTTTGTGTCATTTAGACAATTCATGTGTGATTAAATTTTGATCTAAAATGACTTCAGTGTATTCAATAGATTTAGAATATTGTTTTTGTTACATTTGAAATTTTCAACGTCTGTTGACAATTATGCGATCTACTCGATTTTCTAACATATATTTACATATGATAATCAAATGAAACTTGAATATCTTATAGAGATAACTACCACGTATGTTTTCAGAAACAAATGTACAGTATAGTATCAATAAATACTTCATTTCGAATGAGTTTTCTAGAATATTAGCTTAAACAAATAAGAAAAAGACATAAACGAAAACTATAACATTCTTCATGAGTCTATCGTATACGAACTTGATTCGATTTAGTTAAGTATATGTAAGATAATTGGTTTACGATTACCAATGTCCTCCATCAACGATTACATACATGTTATTTATAATAAACGTGAGTACTAGCATAAGTGTTGAATGACTTAAGTTACAATAAAGAATATTAAAAAATGTACAGGTGATAAAAAAGGAGAATGAGAATAATTTGAAAATAAAAAATGAAATTAAGGAATTGCCATGAATAATTCTGTTATGCTATTCTAGATTTAATGAGATATGATATACGAGAGGTGTCAGTTCAGTAATCTTTTTCGTTTTGACTAAACAAATTATATTTTATATGTTATAACTTGTGTCCTGTGAGCCCTATTTCTTGTATAACGTAACGATACCGTCAATTAGAGAGCAGTGAATTATCGATCGGTCCAATGACGAATAAAACCTGTACGAGCAGTCTAAAGTACTTATCGATCCTGCTTCCTGCCTAGCCCAGCCATTTAAGTCCAGAACATCAATCTCAGCATCCACAATATGAATCATTTATTTCAAACATACAGGGTTTATATACCAACTCAATAGACCACATCGTACCATAAAATATGAAACAACATTTATACAAGATCTATCCAAAAGTGGCTATGACTACGGGAAGTAGTAATCGATAGACAGAATGTAACTCAAGAATGGTAAATTGTATAATAATAATTCATAAGTCAAAATAAAGCTTATGGTAAGAGGAATACAAATACGAATAGTTTAGTTACTTAACAATTATACAATAAAAATATACGTATAGTATTAGACCAGAAATAGATTCTCTCAATTGCCATTCATTATTCTCATCAGGATATAACATTATATTAAATTTAATTAATTTTAATGTTAACTTTAAACTTTCATTATTATACTCATATTCTTTTTCTTTTTGGTATAGGAAATGGAATAGACCATATGAAAAACCCATAACAACCAAATATTTTACAAAATTAACTTTAGAAAATTTAAACATTGTTAATACACAAATAAATTTAAATAATAAAAATGAAAGAAATGCTAAACAACAACAATTGGAATCAATCAACACTATGTATTCATCTAATAAATTTAAATCTTATTTAAAACATGAAAAAATAAAAAAACGAAAAATTAATTTTATAAATGAAAATACTTCAATATTGAATGCAAAACAGACTACTTATAATAATAATAATAATAATAATAATAATAATAATAATAATAATGATATAATGACTACACTTATCCCATTAGAAGATACTATAGAATATGATTACAATTACAAGATTAATACAAATAAATTAATTGAAAAAGACAGTATGATAATAAAGTCAACAAATCATATAGTAAATAATAATAGTAATCAAATGGAGAATATTTCTAATGAAGAAATTAAACAATTCATCAATGAAGAATTTTACAGTTACGATACATCTCATTCTATTTTAGGCAATGAAGGATCAGATTCAGATGGAGATAATTACAGTAAATAGAAAACAAAACTTTTATTTATTTATTTATTTCTATTTTATATTTTAAAGTGTGTTGTTATATTTTGTTATCGTGACATAACCAGTGTAAATTTCAATGAATGAGCATTGGAATATAACACTTAATTCTGTTTTTAATATATCACTACTTTTAATAATCATATATATATATATATATATATATCTATATATATATATAATATATATATATATATATAACAGTTGGAGATACTTAACTGTCGGACAACAAAATTGTTAAACTGTTTTGTTGTGAAACTGTAGTTACCAAGAACACGAGTAAGAGCAATAGATTGTATTTGA